CTTCCAAACTCTATGCTGTGTTCCTTTCCCATGTGAATAAAGTTGCAGAGGTTAGAACTGGGTCAACAATAATCAAGCCTGTTCTTTGGTGCATATAATGGAGCCGGGGGTTAAAAGGGGAAAAATTGACTCAAGGACCTTCTGGAGTTCTGCCTCCCAGGATACAGCCCATACTGGGTGACTTCTCCCTTGCCCACAAGAAGCACAGTCTGCATTTGTCAAGTCTCTGTGCTCCATGTTCTGTGCTAAAGAGTTTTATGTAGGAGTGCCCCTCTCCATAGCTCCGGGTGATGGGTGCAGGGTCATGCCCATTTTACAGATGAATAACAGAAGCCACTCAATGGCATTAGCTGCTTGAGGTCACATTGCCAGTGAGTGGAGGAGCAGATTCATACTGTGGTTGTGAAGTTCAAACTGTTCACTATGCACCCCTGAATGAAGATCAAATTCACATACATAAAATGGATGATTGTAAAGTGTACAGTTCAGTGCTGTTTAGTTCATTTACATGGTTGTACACATGTCACTCTGTAGTTCCAGACATATTTGCTACTTTCTCCAAAAACCCTGTACTTATTAAGCAGCTACTCCCTGTTCCCCTTACCCCAGCCCCTGAAAACTCCAAAGTGATTTCTGTGTCAATGGACTTATCTTCTGGTCCTCTGGATGTTTCATATAAATGCAATTATACACAATGTGATGTTTTGCTTATTTTTTTTTTAAAAAAATTACAAGACATTTTGGAGGCATGCAATGTGAAGGCAACAGTCATATGCTGCCTTTGGCCTCCCTCATTTTCCTCCTTAGCTGCTTCTCACTTCTTTTCTATGTGAAAGGGCTCCCTCAACCCATATCCCTTGAAATGTGTGACTATATTTGCACCATGGACTCCATCATATTTTACTTTAAATCTCCTGAGTAGCAAATAAACCTGCAAAGCCTAATCACTGCTGGTGAGAAAGTGATCTCTGCCATTCAGTGTGTGACCTATCAGTTGTCAGGTCCCTGGGACCTTTTCAGAGAGACTTTTTGTGAGAGCATATCCAACACCTCTATGCCAGCTCCATGAAGGGTCAACCCATCAACTTCTTCACTGTTCCACTATTAGCACCTCGGTGTGGGGCATGTGACAGCTGTTGAAAACCTAGCCTGAGGTATGAATGAATAGATGAAAGATTGGCTAAATCAGCCACCCCTTAAGCTCCCCCTTCAAATGAATCCAGACCTCTGCTTTCAGATCATGTCACTGTAAGACTGAGGGCCTTACCAAACGCTCCAAGGAGCTGATTAGTGAAGCACACCCAGGAATCCCAGCGGTGCCTTCAGAATGTAAGACCAAGAGCCTTACCAAACGCTCCAAGGAGCTGACTACAGCGAAGAACACCCGGGAAGGAACACACCGGACAAGTTGGAAAATAAAACAGACCTTTA